TCTCTATGGTCTGTGTAGTTCTTTGAGATAAATGTTCTAGAACGTCAGGTGTTATATTTCCATCAGCCATGTTCATTTCATACTGGTCCAAAATATCTGCATGTTTCATATCTTTCAATGGCATTAAAGCCGCGCTTAAAATACCAGCTATATCTCGTTCACCATTGACTTCCATTGCGTCTACAACTTCTTGGAATTGTGGTTGTAAGTTTATGAACCACCTATCTGGATTAGCTTTATGACCCCATCTCATTGTAGTTCCATCGTCTGCAGAAACAAAAGTAGGTTTGTTTCCATCTTGGTTAGGTTCTGAATGAACTTTAAACAATGTTTCATTTCTATATGTTTTCTTGAAATTTAACCTTTTATTTTCACCGAGTTCATCCGAAGATTGAACGTTAAATGCTCGTAAGTAAAAAGGGTTGTTGTATTTGTGTACATTTTCTTTCAGTACTTCCATTCTATGCTGAATATTTTCATCTGGTGCTGGAGTCTTTTGTATGTCGGCAAACATTTTTCGATATTCTTCTACTATGTCAGCCGAATTTTTTTTAGACTCTTGGAAATATTCCATATTCTCCGCATACTCTTGTTGAGGGTCAAGATTTTTCGGCTGTTCCAAATCTTCATCTAGTTCTGTGAAGTTAGTTTCCAAAGGAGTGACTTGTTCGTTTCCTTCAGGCTCTTCTAGCTGTTGTTGCTGAACTATTTCTTCCATGTCTGGTTGTATCTGAACTTCTTCCTGTGGAGTTTCTTGTACCTCATCTGCTGGCATTTCATATATTCCGAGACCGTTTTCAACAATTTCCCTATCTACGTCATCCGCATTCATAAGCTTTTGTTCTTTCGTTCCGTCTCTATTTTTTACGCGTTTCATGACGAAAGTTGAATTGTCATTTAGCTCTGACATCAAATATCTCGGAGTAAATTCATCCATGTCATTTGGATGATATGCTATTAAATCATATCCCTTAGCGAGCTTGTATTTTCCAGGTTTGAGATTATATCCGTTTTGGTGCTGAGCCATAAAGCTAAATAGGTTCGGGTCAGTATTTCCATCCTTGAACTTTCCAATAGCTTCTTTATATCTGTCACTAAAGTCAATACTATCTGGGAAACCACACTCTTCTTTAAGCATTTTTAAGAATTCTTGGTTTCCTTGTTCTCTACTTCTTTTATGTCCTTGCTCTGTTTGTGGTTGTTGTGGTGCAGTGTTTTGAACTGTTGGTTGTGGTGCTGGTTGTTGTGTTGGTTGTTGTGCTGGTTGTTGTTGTTGTTGTGTTGGTTTTGGTGCATGCCTGTGTCTGTGTCCATGTGACGATGTAAATGTTTTAGGTAGTCCTGGTGCAGGTGCTTCTCTTGGAGGGTTTGGTGGTATATAAGTTCCACCAGCTGGCACATATGTTCCATCTGCAGCATAATGTCCTACCTGACTTTTCGTTTTTAAGAAAGCATTTACTAGGTCTGTTTTGGTCTGTTGTAACTCTTTTTCTTGACTTTTCACAACAGTTGCTCTAACGGCGTCATAGGCACTTTGAACTGCCTGTCTCGTTGCTGCATCTGTTATTTTCGTCATATTTTGTGCTACTTCTCTTAACTCTTTGTCGAAACCTTCAGACTTCAGTTTCTTTCCAGATGAGAAGTCGTTCACTTGTTTCACCTTACTATGAAGAGCTTCGAAAGCGTTCTTAAAGTCAGCATTTGTTAAAGCTTCATTTGAACTATCTTCATCCGCTTGTATTTTTGTCCTTATTGACCCTATGAGTTGGGCTGCTTTAGCGTTGGCTTGGGCATCTAACCAGTCATTGTTGGCTTTTATATATTCTGCGCTTTTCATTGCCTTTTGCATAGCCGCGTCGTTATTTTTACTTTCTTGTGCTAAGTTTTCATACTGTACGGTTTGGTTTTGCAACTGTAAAAGTTTTTCTGCCTTTACATTTGCTTCAACTTCTTTTTTATACTCATCGCTATCCATATATGTCTTCAGGGCTTTTTGTTTTATCTCTTCATCTTTCAGTATTTTATATTGAGTAGTATGGTTTTTCAAATTTATGACATCTTGTTCCATTTTTGCTACTTCTGCTGCTTTTTCTGACACTTTTTTCGCATATTCCTCTGTACTTAGTTCTTTCAGTTGTTCTTCTTTCTTCTTTTTCTCTACGTTTAACTCATTTAGTTTCTTTGTGTGTCTGTCATATTCTAGTTTCTTTTCGTTTTCACTTATTTGCTTCTGTATGTCTATGTTTGACTTTTTGACATCTGATATTTGATTTTTGAGTAAACTCAAATTCATTTGACTTTGAGGGTTATATGCTGTTCCGTCTGCAGCTCCACCATAGCCTGCCATTTTCGCTAAAAGTGCCGCTCTTAAACCTCCACTCTGTGCACCAACAACTCGGTTTAAAAGCATAGGATTGCTTGACATTTGTTGCAACATAGTGGGGTCATTCAGCATTTGTTGTTGCAACTGTTGTTGTGGTGTTAGTTTTACTATTGGATGTTTCAATGCTCTCTTCCTCTTACGTATATTCTTACGTAGCTTACGTGGCATTTTAAGTGAAGTTAAAAAGCGGTTTTTGACAGATGTTTTATTGTGACTTCTTCGTAAAGACTTTGTTGAGATTTCTTCGTAAATGACCCAAAAATATATTTTAGGGTAGAAGGGTATATCTAACCTCTTTTCTAACCTCTTTTCTACCCTCTTGAATTTTCATGAATTTCTTCGTAAATGTTTTGTCAAGACTTCTTCGTAAAGACTTTGTTGAGACTTCTTCGTAAAGACTTTGTTGAGACTTCTTCGTAAATGACCCAAAAATATATTTTAGGGTAGAAGGGTATATCTAACCTCTTTTCTAACCTCTTTTCTACCCTCTTGAATTTTCATGAATTTCTTCGTAAAGACTTTGTTAAGACTTCTTCGTAAAGACTTTGTTAAGACTTCTTCGTAAAGACTTTGTTGAGACTTCTTCGTAAAGACTTTGTCAAGACTTCATCGTAAAGACTTTGTTGAGATTTCTTCGTAAATGACCCTAGTAGTATATTTTTGGTGTAAATTTCATGAAAATTCATGAAAATTCAAGAGGTTAGAAATGAGGTTAGAAAAGAGGTTAGATATACCCTTCTACCCTAAAATATATTTTTGGTGTAAATTTCATGAAAATTCAAGAGGGTAGAAAAGAGGTTAGAAAAGAGGTTAGATATACCCTTCTACCCTAAAATATATTTTGGTGTAAATTTCATGAAAATTCAAGAGGGTAGAAAAGAGGTTAGAAAAGAGGTTAGATATACCCTTCTACCCTAAAATATATTTTTGGTGTAAATTTCATGAAAATTCTGAGTAAAATGACAGATGTTTATATGACACTTTCTCCGGTTTATAGGACCTCTCTCATATTCTAAACATCAACATCAGGGCTAGAAGGCACGAAGTGCCTGGAAGCCCCACTTCCTTTTTTTTTTTTTTTTTTTTTTTTTAAATTCGCCATAAATGATGATTAATATTCAAGAAATAAAATTTAAATTATAAATCTAAACAAATATTGGAACTATATACTGGGATCAATAGATCATTGAAATCACAAAAATATTGCCCATAGGAAGTCTCCATGAAAACGAAGGTAATGCACGTCTCCAAAGCTTCTCCATTTCTCCATCTCCATGAAGAAATCGAACTAGTTTGTCTTTCTCCACGTCTCCATGGAGAAAATATGAGGTGAACTCATTGGAAGCTTTTACATTTTTAAACTTTAAAGTTAAAATCTGACATTTTGATAAGAAACAAATATTATAAATAATGGGATATAATTTTACAAAAAAAATTTACAAAACTGGAGAAGCTTATATTTTGGAATTTGGAGATCCCAGCCGTTATTTTTCCAAACGAGATCCTTAATGATTAAACTAGAATAATGAATTGGAAAATAAAAATCTTTGATTTATTTTTGAGTGGGATCACATCTTTGTAAACTTAAAGGGATGAAATTCTGAAGTTTACAAAATCTTGTAAAACGACTGTTTCTCACTCAATATGTGATATTGTCGAATTTTTCTATAACATAAATTTGTTTTATAAGATAAATTATGTATTGACATCAATAGTATGTCTAGAAATATTTTCTATCAATGGGGAAAAAAATCAAAAATTCAATTTTGATTTCGAAATAACTCAAAATCAGTTTAGAATTGAGAAATAAAACAATTATGAAAAGATTGTACTAATATGAGTCTAACAATCAAACAGAAGCTTTTCCATTTTAAATACTTAACTGAAAGAATTTGAGATTAATTTCTTCAAAAAATCTTTAATATAACTTAGACTATGAAATATTTTGTATATTGATACTGGGAATCATAACATATTTACACCCTATAAGTGAACACCTTCCATATTAATCACATTTCTGAATACAATGAGTGATAAGAAAAATTCGAAATAACTTTCTCAACATATTGATAATATGTAAGATCTCACCTATTAGTAAAAATTCACACAATGCTTAAGAATTTAAACAAAAGCTTTTTTAGTTATAAACTTCTAATGGCCATATAAATAGTTTAAAATCTCTCAAATTTGACCGAGAAAACGGTTTCAAAGTTGAAAATAAACTTTCTTAATTTCAAAAAAGCTTCATGTAATAACATTGCTTGTATCTAACTGTAGTAAATGATATATTTATTTTTTAGAAATATAAAATTTGATAATATTTGTGAATAATTATCAAATTTTATTTGGGTATATATGATAAATTTAATAAATATTTGATGGGTCCATATTCATAATATGCATGATGTGGCATACTTTTGAAAAATTGATTAAATCATTTATCTAATATATAGTTTTTTAACTCAAAAACAAATGTAGTAATATTTTGGCACTAATAATTAATAATTTCATAATCAATAATCCAAATTAATCATTCTAGCACATACTATAATGCCGATTTTTAGGAAAATTGTAAACTTTTAGCTAAAAGTGTCACAGCGAAAAACTTTTCCATAGAATGTCAAGTTCAGAGCAGCCAAAAAATGTTAATTGGTGCATTTCCAATGACCTTAAGCCAATCAAAGTATTCGAATACCCAGATCAAGCATCAAAAATTATTTGGGGCGTCAATTCCAATAATATTATACAAATATCTTCACAAATTATCGAATTGACAACAACCCACAAAATATCTATCCAAATGGCGCTATATTTGATTGATATTTTTTCACAAATTCTTGTTAAAGAAATTAAATTATTTTCAGAACTTTATCAAAAGATATCGAACACATTTTCATACATACATGAACCGAAAAACAAGAGATTAGCGACACTTTTACATTACAAAGGTATCAAATTTGAAAAATTCGAACCTGAAATGAAAGAAGAAGAAATTTTCAATTTATATCCAACAGATTCTCCTTTATACTATATTGCATGGGATAAAGTTGACGATCTTAAGAGTAAGTTCCCAAATCTTGATATTAATGAGAAGATTGATAATATCAAACCACTTAACTGTGCAATTAAATATGGATCAGAACTGTGTTTCAATTACTTGAAAAATTTAGGAGCTCAATACACCGATTACTCCGAAGAATGTGCTGTTCATGGCGGAAATCAAAACATTTTTATGCAAATGATTGAAGATGGTAAAAAATTCGATAACATGGTAATAGAACTTTTGCATTTCAGGGTTAATGGTTGTTTGTGAAGTTGTTGTTAAAGTTCATAGCATCTAATGTCAAGTTGTATGACCTCATATCCTCAACTGTAGAATATTCTTCTCTTGGATAATATTTGCCATCTATGTTTATATGATATTTAATACCGGGTTGTAGAACAAGAATAGTCATTTATAGTTCGTCTGAACAGTACAAACATAGTATCTGCATGTTTCATTGCAGTTGTTAAGGCAATATCTGTTCTTGCACCTGGGTCAGCACTTTGGTTTCAACTTCACCTGCAAAGTCTTTGACAGATATTTGGTGTATAGGGAACATAAGTGGAACTGCAATATTTGGCAGCTAAAGCATTTGAAATATCTGGGTCCAACATATAGACTGCAAGTCTGCTTTCTATTCTCTTGCATTCAAATTTTTCGCATGTGAACTTAACTGGGTCCCAAGCAGTTCCAGCAGCATTGAAAAAATAGTTTACTTCAGTGTTGAGTTTGAGAAACCAAAGTCTAAGTCAACTTTGTCTTTGCAAAATTCGGCGAATGACGTTTGATTTGCTCCCTTTACGTCTGTAAGAGTGAATGGGTCTTGGTTGGTGCAATGACTAAGTTATTTTTGCTTGGAGTAAGTTCAATAGAAATTTTTCCTGCCAGTTTGGCAAGTATCTTAAAACCTGAAGATGAGAAAGATGACAAAGGAACTCTAAGTTTCAGTTTTACTTTGGTTACTGCTGCTGCAGTTTGTCCAGAAAGGTTAACATAAACTCCTGGAACGTTAGGGTCAAGTCTTCTTATTTTCTCAATAGTTGCATATTGGTCTGTTTGTTCTCTAGCTTGTGGTTGTACTGAGTTTTTAAAGCGAACCATTCATAGTTTGCCCATGTTACTGTTTGAACTAAGTCAGAGTTAGAATATATCTTATATCCATAAAAACTTCTGGAGCATATTGGTATCCGACATAGAAAATTCCATTGCAACCTTTCTTGTCAGACAACTTGACAGAAGGTTTTATTCAATGTCTTGTTCCACGTATAAGAATGAGTTGTCAATAGAAATAATATGAAACCTGTCGCAAGCAATATCTACTGTTGTTGAAGAACCTTCTCCAAACTCACCTACATTTCCATAAGAAACAGCAGTTGTATATTCGTAAGTTCCAGGAACTATTTCTGACCTTCTAATGGCATTGTCGCATTCGTTATACATTCGGAAACATTTCCATTCATAGCATCCAAAACTGTTGGCGTTATATCTGAGCGGCGTACATTTCATATGAGTAAAAATATAGAATAGTTGGATTTATATGTCATAATAGAACCCACGTGGACCAAGCTTTACTTTCTTCCTGCTGAGTTTTTAACTCTTCTTTTTCCTTCATTGCCCTCTTGCTTGAAGTTGTTGCATCTTTGCATTTATGTTCATCTAGTATGTTTGCAAATTTCCCATGTCCTTTTTGCCTTTTGGCTCTGGTCGCCCATCTCAGGTAACCTATATCCTAGAAAGAGTTTGTCATAGTCTGTATTTGAGTCTTCGCGTATTGTTTGCATGACTCTTTCCTGAGTTTCCGGTTCAAGCTCTTCAAACAGTGCCTGTCCATATGGAATATGCTCGTTTCCAAATATATGTTTTTGTAGCCATTCTGGTTTTCTTTCCATGTTACCAACTATATCTTTTTGTGAATGGGAAAGCTTTTACCCAATCTTTCAGTCTGTGCGTGTTTATTTCTGTAGTTGGTTTTTATTTTGTCAAGGAACATGTTTTTCAATACTAACATTTCATTTGGTACTGTCCATTTGAGTTTTCTTAAATATTCATCCCTTCTCAGTTCATTGTCTGCAAAGTAAGTTTTTATGACATTTTGTAAACTTTCATTTGCAAGGTCATGTACAATAGGTTTCTTTCCTTCGCTCTCCCTAACTTTCTTTCTAAACTCTTCACCAAATATACCATCTCTATGGTTCTGTGTAGTTCTTTGAGATAAATGTTCTAGAACGTCAGGTGTTATATTTCCATCAGCCATGTTCATTTCATACTGGTCCAAAATATCTGCATGTTTCATATCTTTCAATGGCATTAAAGCCGCGCTTAAAATACCAGCTATACTCGTTCACCATTGACTTCCATTGCGTCTACAACTTCTTGGAATTGTGGTTGTAAGTTTATGAACACTATCTGGATTAGCTTTATGACCCCATCTCATTGTAGTTCCATCGTCTGCAGAAACAAAAGTAGGTTTGTTTCCATCTTGGTTAGGTTCTGAATGAACTTTAAACAATGTTTCATTTCTATATGTTTTCTTGAAATTTAACCTTTTTATTTTCACCAGATTCATCCGAAGATTGAACGTTAAATGCTCGTAAGTAAAAAGGGTTGTTGTATTTGTGTACATTTTCTTTCAGTACTTCCATTCTATGCTGAATATTTTCATCTGGTGCTGGAGTCTTTTGTATGTCGGCAAACATTTTTCGATATTCTTCTACTATGTCAGCCGAATTTTTTTTAGACTCTTGAAATATTCCATATTCTCCGCTACTCTTGTTGAGGGTCAAGATTTTTCGGCTGTTCCAAATCTTCATCTAGTTCTGTGAAGTTAGTTTCCAAAGGAGTGACTTGTTCGTTTCCTTCAGGCTCTTCTAGCTGTTGTTGCTGAACTATTTCTTCCATGTCTGGTTGTATCTGAACTTCTTCCTGTGGAGTTTCTTGTACCTCATCTGCTGGCATTTCATATATTCCGAGACCGTTTTCAACAATTTCCCTATCTACGTCATCCGCATTCATAAGCTTTTGTTCTTTCGTTCCGTCTCTATTTTTTACGCGTTTCATGACGAAAGTTGAATTGTCATTTAGCTCTGACATCAAATATCTCGGAGTAAATTCATCCATGTCATTTGGATGATATGCTATTAAATCATATCCCTTAGCGAGCTTGTATTTTCCAGGTTTGAGATTTATATCCGTTTGGTGCTGAGCCATAAAGCTAAATAGGTTCGGGTCAGTATTTCCATCCTTGAACTTTCCAATAGCTTCTTTATATCTGTCACTAAGTCAATACTATCTGGGAACCACACTCTTCTTTAAGCATTTTTAAGAATTCTTGGTTTCCTTGTTCTCTACTTCTTTTATGTCCTTGCTCTGTTTGTGGTTGTTGTGGTGCAGTGTTTTGAACTGTTGGTTGTGGTGCTGGTTGTTGTGTTGGTTGTTGTGCTGGTTGTTGTTGTTGTTGTGTTGGTTTTGGTGCATGCCTGTGTCTGTGTCCATGTGACGATGTAAATGTTTTAGGTAGTCCTGGTGCAGGTGCTTCTCTTGGAGGGTTTGGTGGTATATAAGTTCCACCAGCTGGCACATATGTTCCATCTGCAGCATAATGTCCTACCTGACTTTTCGTTTTTAAGAAAGCATTTACTAGGTCTGTTTTGGTCTGTTGTAACTCTTTTTCTTGCTTTTCACAACAGTTGCTCTAACGGCGTCATAGGCACTTTGAACTGCCTGTCTCGTTGCTGCATCTGTTATTTTCGTCATATTTTGTGCTACTTCTCTTAACTCTTTGTCGAAACCTTCAGACTTCAGTTTCTTTCCAGATGAGAAGTCGTTCACTTGTTTCACCTTACTATGAAGAGCTTCGAAAGCGTTCTTAAAGTCAGCATTTGTTAAAGCTTCATTTGAACTATCTTCATCCGCTTGTATTTTTGTCCTTATTGACCCTATGAGTTGGGCTGCTTTAGCGTTGGCTTGGGCATCTAACCAGTCATTGTTGCTTTTATATATTCTGCGCTTTTCATTGCCTTTTGCATAGCCGCGTCGTTATTTTTACTTTCTGTGGCTAAGTTTTCATACTGTACGGTTTGGTTTTGCAACTGTAAAAGTTTTTCTGCCTTTACATTTGCTTCAACTTCTTTTTTATACTCATCGCTATCCATATATGTCTTCAGGGCTTTTTGTTTTATCTCTTCATCTTTCAGTATTTTATATTGAGTAGTATGGTTTTTCAAATTTATGACATCTTGTTCCATTTTTGCTACTTCTGCTGCTTTTTCTGACACTTTTTTCGCATATTCCTCTGTACTTAGTTCTTTCAGTTGTTCTTCTTTCTTCTTTTTCTCTACGTTAACTCATTTAGTTTCTTTGTGTGTCTGTCATATTCTAGTTTCTTTTCGTTTTCACTTATTTGCTTCTGTATGTCTATGTTTGACTTTTTGACATCTGATATTTGATTTTTGAGTAAACTCAAATTCATTTGACTTTGAGGGTTATATGCTGTTCCGTCTGCAGCTCCACCATAGCCTGCCATTTTCGCTAAAAGTGCCGCTCTTAAACCTCCACTCTGTGCACCAACAACTCGGTTTAAAAGCATAGGATTGCTTGACATTTGTTGCAACATAGTGGGGTCATTCAGCATTTGTTGTTGCAACTGTTGTTGTGGTGTTAGTTTTACTATTGGATGTTTCAATGCTCCCTTCCTCTTACGTATATTCTTACGTAGCTTACGTGGCATTTTAAGTGAAGTTAAAAAGCGGTTTTGACAGATGTTTTATTGTGACTTCTTCGTAAAGACTTTGTTGAGATTTCTTCGTAAATGACCCAAAAAATATATTTTAGGGTAGAAGGGTATATCTAACCTCTTTTCTAACCTCTTTTCTACCCTCTTGAATTTTCATGAATTTCTTCGTAATGTTTTGTCAAGACTTCTTCGTAAAGACTTTGTTGAGACTTCTTCGTAAAGACTTTGTTGAGACTTCTTCGTAAATGACCCAAAAATATATTTTAGGGTAGAAGGGTATATCTAACCTCTTTTCTAACCTCTTTTCTACCCTCTTGAATTTTCATGAATTTCTTCGTAAAGACTTTGTTAAGACTTCTTCGTAAAGACTTTGTTAAGACTTCTTCGTAAGATTTGTGAGACTTCTTCGTAAAGACTTTGTCAAGACTTCATCGTAAAGACTTTGTTGAGATTTCTTCGTAAATGACCCTAGTAGTATATTTTTGGTGTAAATTTCATG